GAGGAACCCGACCACTGGAACCGCAATGTAGAGGAACCCGACCACTGGAACCGCAATGTAGAGGAACCCGACCACTGGAACCACAATGTAGAGGAACCTGACCACTGGAACCACAATGTAGAGGAACCTGACCACTGGAACCAGAATGTAGAGGAACCTGACCACTGGAACCGCAATGTAGAGGAACCCGACCACTGGAACCGCAATGTAGAGGAACCTGTACAAACCGCAGATCATCATGACAGGAAGTGGCAGACAGCAGTATTAAACCAAAAAAAAAAAACCGCCATAAATTGCATCTTACCAATCATTCCATGTGGCGGCTGCATTAGTTTTTTTTCTTAGGCTTTGCCCTCTATATTCACCTGTTGATCTGGCCAGTAACAGCTCCTGTATTAGAGCGCCCCCAACTCTGGATGAAGGGGCACAGGGAGGACCTATGGACAGCAGCATTGCGAGTCTGAGGGGAGGGGTGTTTGTTAATGTATTTAAATCTGCTAAACTACAGATAAAAGTTAATAATCAGTTGATTTACTTTCGGAATAAAAGGCTTTACATTAAATAAAAGCGGATTGTAAGCACCCCTGTCAGTGGTAACTGGTTTGTCTCATCCCTGTAAACCAATGCATTCTATTTGAGAGCTTCTGCTTTTGAAAAAGCATCAGACTTACTAACTGGAACACCATATGGGGAAAAAAAAAAAAAAAAAAAAACACACCACTAATCCTGCCATCATCTCTAAGAATTGGTCAGCTGCAATAAAGATTTGTGTGTTTACAGATTTAATGAACATCGGAGTCACTGGACAGGCAGCATTCTGATGATTGTCTCATATGACGGATGTGGTGAAGTCATTGGGTGTCGGATATTCCAGTCCTCAGCACACGTGGATATGAATTGCATCCTAACAATCTATGGATTCCTCCGAGGTTTATACAAACTTTGATTGTCCTCTCTGCTTATAAGAGTTGACTAGACAGAGGATGCAGTACTCGGTGCTGTGGTTGAGTTTGAACCAATGACCCAACTGCCTGGAGTTTGCATGTTCTCCCTGTGCCTGAGTGGGTCTCCTTCAGGTACTCCAGTTTCCTCCCATGCTCCAAAAGACATGCTGGGAGGTGAATTGGCTCCTGTCTAAATTGTCCCTAGTATGTGTATGTATGAATGCAAGTTAGGGACCTTAGATTGTACGCTCCTCGGGGGCGGGGACTGATGTGATTTTGGCAATATAGTGTATATTGTACAAAGTATTGGTCGGCTTGCCTTTCCACACACATGACCTTTAATGGCCCCTCCCAGTCTTAGTCCGTAGGGTTCAATATTGGGTTGGCCCTGCCCTTTCCACACACATGACCTTTAATGGCCCCCCAGTCTTAGTCCGTAGGGTTCAATATTGAGTTGGTCCCGCTCATTGCAGCTATAACAGCTTCAACTCTTCTGGGTTCAATTTGGTTGGGCCACGCCCTTTTTGCAAGAAGGCCGTCCACAAGGTTTAGGAGGGTGTCTATGGGAAGGTTGGACCATTCTTCCAGAAGCACATTTGTCAGGTCAGGCACTGATGTCGGGGGAGGAGGCCTGGCTCACAGTCTCCGCTCTAATTCATCCCAAAGGTGTTCTATGGGGTTGAGGTCAGGACTCTGTGCAGGACAGTCAGGTTCCTCCACCCCAAACTGGCTCCTCCACGTCTTTATGGACCTTGCTTTGTGCACTGGTGGGCAGTCATGTTGGAACAGGAAGGGGCCATCCCCAAACTCCTCCCACAAAGTTGGGGGCATGAAATTGTCACCTTAAGAGTTCCCTTCCCTGGAACTAGGGGGGCCAAGCCCAACCCGAGGAACAACCCACACCATAATCCCCCCTCCACCAAACTTTACACTTGGCACAATGCAGTCAGGCAAGTACCATTCTGGCAACCGCCAAACCCAGACACGTCCATGGGATTGCCAGAGAAGCGTGATTGGTCACTCTAGAGAACACGTCTCCTCTGCTCTAGAGCCCAGTGGCGGCGTGCTTTACACCACGGCATCCGAGTCTTTGCATTGCACTTGGTGATGGAAGGCTTGGATGCAGCTGCTCGGCCATGGAAACCCATTCCATGAAGCTCTCTACGCACTGTTGTTGGGCTCATCTGAAGGCCACACCAAGTTTGGAGATCTTTAGCTATTGACTCTGCAGACAGTTGGTGACTTCTGCGCACTGTGCGCTTCAGCATGCGCTGACCCCGCCCTGTCATGTGACGTGGCCTACCACTTGGTGGCTGAGTGGCTGTTGTTCCAGTGGCTTCCACTTTGTTATAATCCCACTAACAGTGGAGCGTGGAATATTTAGTAGCCAGGAAATGTCACGGATGGACTTATTGCCCAGGTGGCCACCTATCACGGGACCACGCTTGGAGTCACTGAGCTCCTGAGAGCGACCCATTCTTTCACCAATGTTTGTAGAAGCCGTCTGCATGCCTAGGGGATGGATTGATATATACTGTGTCCATGGAGGGGATTGGAACACCTGAATCACATGATATGGAGGGGATTGGAACACCTGAATCACATGATATGGAGGGGAGGGAAATACTTTTGGCAATATCGTGTATTGCCAACTCCACCTCCGCAACATCGCCAAAATCCGCACGTTCCTAACCCCCAGAAACCACTAAACAGCTCATCCACTCCCTCATCATATCATCACGACTCGACTACTGCAACTCCCTCCTCACTGGCCTGCCTCGCCGCTGGCTATCCCCTCTTCAGTCCATCCTGAACACGGCTGCCAGACTGATTCACCTTTCCAACCGCTCTGTCTCCGCCACCCCCCTCTGCCAATCCCTCCACTGGCTTCCGATTGCGCAATGGATCAAATTCAAAATCCTAACACTGACGTACAAAGCCGTCCACCATACTGCCCCGAACTACATCACTGACCTAATATCCAAGTACCGCCCAACACGCACACTCCGCTCCTCACAAGACCTCCTTCTCTCTAGTTCCCTGGTCTCCTCCTCCCATGCCCGCCTCCAGGACTTCTCCAGGGTGTCACCCATCCTCTGGAACTCCCTGCCCCAACCCATCAGATTATCACCTACTCTCCTCTCCTTTAGGCACACCCTGAAAACCCATCTCTTCAGGGAAGCCTACCCCACCCCCTGCTAACTTGCCTCCCTCCTCCACTCTTCCTACCACTCCATCCCCCACAGCTATCTCCTCCTGTGCCACCACCCCCTCCCTCCTAGATTGTAAGCTCCAAGGAGCAGGGCCCTCAATCCCCTCATGTTTTGCATTGTATTGTATTGTTCTGTCACATGTTCTGTCCCCCTCTGTAATGTACAGCGCTGAGCCAACTATTGGCGCTTTATAAATACTGTATAATAATAATATGTAAATGTCACGATATAAGTACCTGTAAAACAATAAAGTGTGATATTAGACAAAGCAGAAAAAAATAATAAGTCCCAAAATATCCAGCAAATATGTAACACGTGTGTTCCACACCTCAGCTATGTGCCAACACCCGGGGTGTGTGCAGCTCCTCGTCACATGGCACTGCCAGCAGTCATAACAGAGATAGCGATTATGTAAGGAGGACAAAGATCTAATCATAGAATCGGCCGAGTTGGGAAGGATCAGAACCTTCGTCAGGATCAGAACCTTCGTCAGGATCAGAACCTTCGTCAGGATCAGAACCTTCGTCAGGATCAGAACCTTCGTCAGGATCAGAACCTTCGTCAGGATCAGAACCTTCGTCAGGATCAGAACCTTCGTCAGGATCAGAACCTTCGTCAGGATCAGAACCTTCGTCAGGATCAGAACCTTCGTCAGGATCACTCATCACAGGGATAAGGAGTCATCAGGTGAAATCTCCCCAAACAGGACAGACCAAGAAAACATTCTAAATCCAAGGTGGATGGTGGAAGCCGAGCTGCAGAAAAGACCTAGGATGCCTCTTCCCTCAAATTTCCCAAATTGTAAACCCTCCATATCCCCAGTGAAGTGGCCGGCCTCAGGGGATACACAGATGAAACCAATCCACCTACAAAAGTTGTATCTGTTTATCCGAAGTTCTCTTCTCTAGATCCTTTCAAAGTCCAGAATTTATACAGCTTTTCTGAGAGCTCAGATAAAAAAAGGGAGAGGAGAGCTGAAATTACAGAGCAGAGCTCAGTGAGCACTGACTGGAGGGAAGGGACACCCCTTTTCATGATGCACACAGGAACACAGTATCTATTGTATTGTACCTGTCAATCACAGGCTGTGTGCTGCAGCGCCACCATTTTTCTCTTGGTGTCAGGAAAACGTGTCAGAAGTGACTTATGTAGATCACAGAGGAGGCAGCAGACAGAAATGACAGTACTCTGGACTGAGACAAGCACACACTATAGAGGGATATGCTTTGTTCATATTTCATGTCTGAGGGAGACTCAACCCTCTGTTAGTCCTAGTTTACTGGTTATTGAAAGCAAAGAAAAAACCCAAATTTGGGGGTTGTCCCCAGAAGAGTAATAGAGGGGAAAATCTTCCAGTGGAGACACTAGTTCTGGTAACCTGGGGGTCCCCCAAAGGAATTCCCTCAATTTGTAGGGATTTCCTCTCACTTCCTGTTTGGCTATGGGACAGGAAGTGAAAGGGAATTCTCTCCAATGCGAGACAGATTGAGAAAATCTATAACCCTTTCAAAAAAAAAAAGGTAACCAAACTGAAAGAAGGAAAAAAAAAAAAAAAAAAAAAAAAAAAAAGGCCGATTTTCATCCCTTCTACAGCCAGCAAAAAGTGTCCCTGAAGAGAGCTCTGCTATTTCTGACAGTTCTCTGACAGTTCCTTGACATTTACAGCGGTTGAAACATTGTATCTATTTATTTCCATTTAGGATACAGATGTTTTTATTCGGAAACAAATAGATACAATGTTTCAACCGCTGTAAATGTCAAGGAACTGTCAGAGAACTGTCAGAAATAGTGGAGCTCTCTGCAGAGACACTTTTTGCTGGACTGGAATTATTCTTATTTTCATCCTACTTCTTCTTCATCCTCATCCTCTTCTTCTTCATCCTCATCCTCTTCTTCTTCATCCTCATCCTCTTCTTCTTCATCCTCATCCTCTTCTTCTTCATCCTCATCCTCTTCTTCTTCATCCTCATCCTCTTCTTTTTGTCTTCCTCTTCCTCTTCTTTTTGTCTTCCTCTTTCAGGTCACTGCTCATGCGCAGTTTTTTTTATCGGAAAAAAAAAAAAAAAAAAAAAAAAAAAAAAAAAAAAAAAAAAAAAAAAAAAAAAATCGGCTGATTCGTCCACTAATTGCCGCGAAAATCGGCCGATTTTTTTCCAACTTTACCGAAAAAAACAACGGCCAAAATACCGAAAATCGGCCTCCGACCAAATCGCCCACTAACGATCCGAAAATCGGCCGATTTTATTTTCGGCCGAAAAATCGGCCGATTTTCGACCCATCTATGGCCTGCATAACTGGAGTAAATGGCAGTTGCAGCAATGGTTACAAGGACAGTTGTAAATACTTGAGGAATCAAAAGAAAACTGCTTAGGGCTGTTGTACCTCCATGAAAGCAGAGTAACAAAATGGTTTCACTTCAGTTTCTCCCCTTCTCCTCCCCCCCCCGTCCATAGATCCCACCCTCATCCTGTATACAAGAGCCAAAAAAAAAAAAAAAATGTATTTTTGCCAACTTGTTGGTGAGCAGATTAATTTTTCAATGCATTTTTCACATTCTGTGTTTTTAACTACATGAATTTTCTGCAGCCTCTCCATTGAGCCAAAACTGCAAGGGCAGCAGTGGCTAAATGGTTAGCACTTCCCCCTGGCAGCACTCGGGTCATCAGTTCGAATCCCAACCACGGCACCGCCTGCCTGGAGTTTGCATGTTCTCCCTGTGCCTGCGTGGGTTTCCTCCAGGTACTTTCCGGTTTCCTCTCTCACACTCCAAAGACATGCTGGTAGGTTAATTGGCTCCTGTCTACATTGCCCCTAGTATGTGTATGTATGAATGTGAGCTAGGGACCTTAGATTGTACGCTCCTCGGGGCGGGGACTGATGTGAACGTACAATATATATGTAAAGGGCTGTGTAAATTGATGGCGCTTTACAAAAAAATATAAAATCTAGATGGCTGTAAAAAAAAAAAAAAAAAAAAAAAAAAAAAAGAAAAGGGTCCCTTTCCAAAAATGCAGCAGCTAACAAAAAAATAAATAAAATAAAACCCCCACACGCACCTCCCCATTGAGGTCTGGTTTACACCAATGCGTGGTGTGTTTTTTTTTTTTTAAACTTTCCAAACACGCAACAAACATGCAGGATTTTTAACACCGCAAGGGAAGCGCAATAGACCCGCGTGAAGGCAGACGGTGGATTTATAGTGTATAAATAAAGAGTGCGCTAATTATTCACAAAAAAAAACGCAAGGATAATAGAAATAAATAAAATCCATAAATATAAAACACGAGTCCAGCCACCATAAACAGCGATCGTCCAATATCAACTTAATGTCAATCTTGAACAAACCCCCCCCCCCCCCCCCCGTGTGCGAATCCGACACCAGATGACATGAATACACTCAGAGCTATATGCGGATTATATTATAAACCAGCATGACGGCATGTTCTGGGAGCGATGATCTGCAGGATATCCCAAAAGAGGAACAGCAACCAATAGTGATCCAATCAGCACATATGGAACAGCTAGATTTATAGGCATGCATTTTTGTTCAGCTTTTCTGCTTCTTGGGGAGGGCTGAGACACGCTGTGTGTCAACGGACGCACATGGCCCGGCTTGGGACCAAGCCCATATTGTGCGCCACCATAGCAAGCAGCTTGCTGCGGGGGCACCTTTTAGGGGACGGTCTATGATGGGAAGCCCTCACCTCTATACAGTGGGGCAAAACAGTATTTAGTCAGCCTATTGCAGATTCAGTCTTCCCAGCCTGGTGCAGGTCTACAATTTTGTTTCTGGTGTCCTTCCACAGCTCTTTGGTCTTCACCATAGTGGAGTTTGGAGTGTGACTGTTTGAACTTGTTATCAGTATAAAAGACACCTGTCCACAACCTCAAACAGGTGCCATTGATACAGGTAATGAGTGCAGGACAGAGGAGCCTCTTAAAGAAGAAGGTCCAGGTCTGTGAGAGACAGAAATCTTGCTTGTTTGTAGGTGACCAAATACTTATTTTCCACCATAATTTGCAAATAAATTCTTTCCAGATCAGCCAATGAGATTGTCTGGATTTGTTTTCTCATTTTGTCTCTCATAGTTGAGGTCTCCCTATGATGCCAATTACAGGCCTCTCTCATCTTTGTAAGGGGGAGAACTTGTACAATTGGTGGGGACTAAATACTTTCCTGCCCCCTCTGTATGTATTACCGGAGGCAGAAGGTATGGAATGTAAACTCTCCGCTTCACTATCTGTCCAGCCCTTGTACTGGTTGGAATGTTGTGGGGGGGGGGGGGGGGGGGGGGGGTGATCCATCACAGAACAGCTCAGCAAGTCACAAAAGTGCGATAAGCCTCCATGTTACTGGAAGACATCTGCAGAATTTCCCAGAACTTCACTGCAATGTATAAAGAGCAACGAAAACCGGCTCAGAGGAAGAAAATAAAAATAATAATAATAATAATAATAATAATACTACTACTACAGGCATGCAAGAAATGTGATCGAATCCTTTCCTCGTGTAATAATCGCTCCCATTTCCTGCTCAGCAGAAAGTTCCCCGGGGGAAAGTCCTCTGTATGTAAATATCTGCTGTCTCATCAGCAATCCTCTCCTGAATACAGGATTCTCTTCTGAACAAAGAAAAGTGTAAAAAAAAAAAAAAAAAAAAACAAAAACACCCAACACCCAACACCACCCAACACCCCAACACCACCCAACACCCCCCAACACCACCCAACACCCCAACACCACCCAACACCCCAACACCAACCACATGGACCTACAGATCAGCCAATCCAAGATGCAGAATTCTAGGTGACGGCTGCCATAGATTGCTGGAATTCCAGCCCATTCCTGTTAACTCTCCAACATTCATACACCTGCAAGCAGCACCCGGCTTGACAGAAGTTACATTAAAATGGTTGTAAAGATTTAACCTTAAAGGGCAACTCCACTTTGGAGAAACACACCTAAACAAACCCCCCCCCCCCCCCCCCCCCTCCTCCGTCACAATCCCTGCAATGTGCATAGATTACCCAAATGTAGATTCCTACCATTTGTTTCCCTGTGCAAAGCGAATCTGCATGGGGGAGATTTTATAATTCTCAATCAGCTGTAGCACCTGCAGGGCCCTAATGGGGAAAGTGGCGGGGTCTGCATCCCTTTACACAGGATTTCATATTGGATTGTAAGCGCTTATATATTATTACAACAACAATTTCCCTTCAGGAGCATCTCACCAAAAGTGAGATTTTTTGTTGCAGGTGATGCCCAAAATCTGACTCATCTTAGTGCAGACTTCTGGGGGGGAAAAAAAAAAAAAAAAAAAAAAATCAGTGAGACAATCACACAAGCAGAAAATGACATTTGGGGATGGGCTGTGTATATCATCTGTGTTCAGAATGCATCCAGGCGGCCATATTGCATTTTACAAAAATAAAAATAATATAATATGACAGCTGCAGATTGAAGGAGGGAAGGGAATTTTTAACATTCAATTACAATATGACTTGAGTCACAACTAGCCCCCCCCCCCCCCCCCCCCCCAAAATTAGAGTCCCCCTTTAAGTATACAGACTGTATATCACAGCTGGGCTCTCTAGAGATCACAATGGACACCTCTAGAGAGAAGTGGTTTGGAATAAATTGGTTGTAAATCCTCCATGTACCCAGTGAAGTGACCGGCCTCGGGTGAGCTAGCCACTACTTTTTAGAAACCGCACAGCCATGCCAGGCTCCGCCCACACATCCACATCATTCAGTGTTCTGGGAATGAATGAACTACAAGTCCCGACAGCCTTAGCAGCTATTGGCTTCCAGTGCTTAATAGACTACCAAGTCATCCTGGCAGTATATCTGCCTGCCAATACATCGGGTACCGACAGGTCTGCTGATGCAATGCTTTACCAACTCCGGCAGACAAATTTTTTTTTTTTTTTTTTTAAAAAAAAATAAAAAAAGTAGGCAACACCCACGCCCCTGCCCTTGTGGGCAACACACGCACAGGACACGTTAGGCACGAACATTATAGCGAGAGCAATAATGTTAATAACCTGGGGTGATCAAAGGGTTTACGGTGTGCTGTTTTTACATGATGTTCTGTGTTTCACTGTAAGCACACGGCTTTGCATGGCCATCGCAGAATGGGAATACCACTTTTTTTTTTTTTTTTTTTTTTAATTAAAAACACCAGATATATTTTACTCACAAAAATTGGGTTATAAGTGATGTTCCGCCAATTAGATACTTGACATGTCACACTTTATGTATGTATGTCGGCTGATGTAAGCGGTGGTTCCCTGGTTCCATACAGCAGTACTTTTTTTGAAGGGCAGTACTCATGAAGGATATCCTTTTCTTTCTTACTACCCATTGCACAGGTGGTGAGTGGACTGTTACAGGACATTAGATTCAAGGTCCTCTGTGACCTACATGGCATAAAACGTCTAATATAGAGTTCAAAGCTCTTACAGTGACTTCCCTCATATTGTTTGTCTTATTACAGGATGGGGACATTATGGTGCTTTACATAGGATACAAGGCATGCCATATATATTTCAACGGGCGGAGGAGCCGCTGGGCTTTATCTTGTTTTCAACAACAAGTGATGTTTAGTCCACATACTGTGGTGAAAGTCATCACTTAAAGCAGTGTTCTGCTATCTGCATCTGTTCCTCCATCCAGGCAACAATCGGGGCGTTATTTACATCTAAAGAATCCTAAATATCAAACATCTTAAATCACTTCTATTACAGATGAATGGGCCCCAACCACGTGTACCGGCATGGGACTGTACTGCATTTTATACATGATATCCTTTTGCTGCCTTACATAGGCTTATGGTTATGCCTCTCTTCTGACGCACACACTGTGCTCGCCGCAATGCATACATGTGATATTTTATACCTTTGGTATAATTTTTGGGAATCCCCTCTATGGGATAGAACCTACATGGTTATGACATATGTCTTTACATATATTATATGTGA